CCCAGATCTCGTTGGCCTCTTAAGGTGCTACTGGACCCAAATCTAGCCGCTTACTGTCGTTGCAGATCTTCTCATTCGAGAATGTCCGATAACCTCCCGAGGGTCTCTGGGGTTTCTTGGAGTGCCGTTGACAAACGACTGGCTTGCCTGTGTCTCAAACTTGAGTTCCTTCTCCGTATTAAGAATTTTGTTGCTCCTCCTGTGCCTTTTGTCTTGCAGTTCTGCGGCACGATTGTGCTGATTTTTATCCTGGAGTTAGTCGTGGCCGTGCTGGCCTTCTTGTTCCAGGACTGGGTGAGGGACCAGGTCGAGACCTTCTTCAAGAACAACATCAAGTCGTACCGAGATGACATCGACCTGCAGAACCTCATAGATTCTTTGCAGAAAATAGTATGCCATTTTTGATCAGTCTTGTTTCGGTCTTTTTCATTTTGAGGCCAGTGGGCAAAAGGCCCAACTGTTTTGTTAACTAAGTGGCATAGCGGGGTGGGAGCTTCGGAAGGGATAATATAATATTAGCAGTACAAGTTTAAGCCACGAAGAAAAGAGGAGTATCCAAGGAAGGGCACAGAAAGTTTCTCTTACTACAGCCTAGTAAACTGATCTCCTGCACACTAGAAAGCAGCGGCTCCGTCTGCGCTGCTCCACACGTTCTATGAAGCCTTTGGGTCTGACGGAGTTGTGTGGAATGAAAGTCCCGCGTCTGGGTGAGCCGTGCCGAGCCTTGAGCATCACAGCAGCCCTGTCACCCAACATGGCTGCGGTGTAGGTTCAAATCCTAGTGCAAACTGTTTCCAGGAAGAGGTGGACTTGGTACCTAGTTAACTGCTGAGTTTTAAGGGCCCAGTGTACTATAGCAGTTAGATGAGACCAGTGCAGAACCACTGCTGACTGAGTGACCTTGTGAGGACCCCTCCTCCAGGTGAGACCCCTCCCCAGATAGTAGGGTCCAGTGTTCCCTCTAAGCTGAGTTAGTGTGAGCTAGCTCACACTAACTCAGCTTAGAGGGAACATTGGTAGGGTCCCCCTTTTTATTTTGGACTTAGTTGTTATTTTGGACTTAGTTGTTATTTTGGACTTAGTTGTTTTAATGGGCACCCCCTTTTAGAAGTGCTAGGGGATCTGAAACTTGGGAAGTCTCGTAAAGGCACGTGGGTTCCGCCATGACATTGGGAAGTCCCAGGAATGAAGGGAAGGGTGTGCGGGAATTAAAGTGCTCCACGGCATATCCTGGTCAGGAACAACAACAAAAAACCCTTTCAATGCAAAGGACATCACCCAGTATCCTGACACACATCAGAAGTGTCTGCCCAGCTTCAAGGCACGCATTATGCAATCATATACCTTGCTTCAAGGGAGACTTCATCAAGGCAACGTGAACCATTTCCAGCTGTCGCCAGTTGGGCAACCCTTAAGTATCACCGATCCAATCCGGCCCTTGATAAAGGCAATTTCACGTCTGATCCACCCAGGATGATGCATCAGAAGGACATTTAAACCCATCATTCACACCCAGTCCTTTTCCAATATGCCAACGATGATTGCCCTACCTTGGAATGTCAGGTGTTTCCCAACTAATATGCCTGCCAGATTTTGACAGCAGTTACCTTCAAACTGCCCCATCAAATTCAAGCCTCATCTCTTGGACCAGCTGTGTTCCTGGGAAAGTGGGTTCCCGTGTCTAGCTACGGGACCCTTTCCAATAAAAAGTCCACCCCAAGTCTGCCAATGTTCCCTCGAAGTTGTGGAGTCTTGTGAACAAAAATTCTACTTTGTGAGCGACTGGCATTAAAGCTGTGAGCCAGGGATTTGGGTACTGCATGAATTGGTTTGCTCGGGAGCCCCTCCTTCCTGAGCTCAGACAAAAATCTGTGAGCTGGAGGCTAAAAAACAGTGAGCTAGCTCACGCTAACTCAGCTTAGAGGGAACACTGGTCTGGACTGTGTGCCAGATTCTCCCACTACCTGGATATCCCTGCAACTGCTTTGCAGGTTCCCCTTTTTCTTCTTGCTCTGCTCTCGGACCTCAACTTCGTCTTCTCTGGACGTCTCCAGACCTCAAGCCCTGGACTGAAGGTTGCTTGCCCCTTCCCTAAAACTCCCCCATTTCCTCTCTTCTCACTTCTGCAAGGACTTCCTCTTTTTTCAAGTGTGTCTGTTCACACTCTTATGGGATCAGTTCTCAGTTCTTTAGGTTCTCTCGATTCTTTTACGTAGTATACAGTAAAGTCCTTTCTTTGTGTTTACAATCACTCCCTCTCTCTGGCTCTTCCTAATTTTATTTTGGGGTACTCCTAACCAATGCTCCCTCTAAGCTGTGGAGTCTTGTGAGCAACAGTTCTACTTTGTGAGCTACCGGCATTAAAGTTGTGAGCGAGCCATTTGGCTGCTGCATGAATTAGCTTGCTCTGGAGCCATCCTTCCTGAACTAAGACAAAAATGTGTGAGCCGGAGGCTAAAAAACTGTGAGCTAGCTCACACTAACTCAGCTTAGAGGGAACACTGCTCCTAACGAGATCCACCTTGGTATACAGAAGCTCCAAGGTCTTGAATTAATCCTTTCTGGAACCCTTTTAAAAGCTAATTCCCTCTTCACTGGGCTCAGTTTGGGTAACAGCCTTATATGCAGAACCATAGGATTGTGGTTTTTAAATGATATGTTAGCACTTTTGAATGCATACTTAAATTATGTGTGATATTTTGTCCATTAACACTACGTGCGTAGCTATATTTTAGTTTCTTTTTCTTTGCCTCAACCTTTCTGGTTACCTTTCTCATGTAGGGTTGTGTTTTTGGCACAGTGGTTAAGTGCACAGACTCTTAAGTGCGCGGTCTCTTATCTGGGAGAACTGGGATTGATTCCCCACTCCTCCACTTGCACCTGCTGGATAACCTTGGGCAAGCCATAGTTCTGATAAGAGCTGTTCTTGAAAAGGAGCAGTTTCTGTCCAGAGTTCTCTCAGCCCCACCCACCTCACAGGGTGTCTGTTGTGGGGAGAGGA